TGAGTCGGAACTGACTCAACATCAGTAAGTTTGGTTTTTTTGGTTTTGCTTCTTCTGACGTAGAATTCCTAATAGTTTCAGAATATTCAGAAGAATTAGGTTTCCTTTCCTCATTATAAGGAGCTCTGGTGGCATAGTGCCTGAGGCATCTGACTGCTAACCAGAAGGCTAGCACAACCAGCCACTCCTCACAAGGAAGATTGGGCAATCTTATAGAAACACCACTTCAGAAACCCAACGCAGGGTCATTATAAGTTGAATCAACTCGATGACAGTTTTTTTTTTTTTTTTTAATCTGGTGGTACAGTGCCTGAGGCTTACCAGAAGACTGGAAGTTCAAACCCACCAACTGCTCCATGGAAGGAAGACAGGGCAATCTACTTCCATAAAGATTAACTGCCTCAGAAGCCCAAAGGGGTTGCTATGAGTCAGAACCGATTTGATGGCAGCGGGTTTGGTCTGGTTTGGTTCCTCTTTAGGACCAGCTTGGACAGAAGTAAAATGATCCTAGTTTGGTCTAAGGGAGCTCTGGCAATCACTTCCATAGTGATACTGCCTCGGAAACCCAAGGAGGGTTGCTATGAGTCAGGTCCAACTCAACGGCACATAACAACAATAAACTTTGGTCTAAAATATGAGGAAATCATCTTATTTGGAACAAGAACACAAATACTTCCCCCCAAACTTCATTTGCAGGAAAGCCCTTGGAAAAACGAATACATATGCTGCTGTCTGGAGCTGGTGCTGTCCCTTCCCCCTGGAGGCTGGACCCACCCTACACCAGCAGGTCTGGAGGCCTCCCACCAGCTAAGGTCCTATGGCTTTTACCTGCCACTCCCATGGGTGCAAATAACTGGTTCAAGTCTGTACAGGCCCATACACAAGAAACTCAAGTCACCAGCATGGCTCTGAATTAATACAGCTTCTTGGAGACCTTTTGAATTATAGTATTTCTAGGATGAAATGCCAAAAACCTGCTGCCATCGAATCAATTCTGACTCATAATGACCCTTTAGGACAGAGCAGAACTGCCCCATTGGGTTTCCATGGCTGTAAATCTTTATGGAAGCAGACTGCCTCATTAACAATCTGTGACATGCAGATGACACGATCATACATGCTGAAAGTAAAGAAGAGTTGAAGCACTTACTGATGAAGATCAAAGACTACAGCCTTCAGTTTGAATTTCACCTCAACATAAAGAAAATGAAAATCCTTACAACTGGACCAATTAAGCAACATCATGATAAAGAGAGAAAAGATTGACATTGTCAAGGATTTCATTTTACTTGGTTCCACAATCAACACCCGTGGAAGCAGCAGTTAAGAAATCAGATGTCGTATTGCATTGGGCAAGTCTGCTGCAACAGACCTTCACAGTGTATAAGAGCAAAGATGTCACTTTGAAGACTAAGGTGCAGCTAACCCAAGCCATGATATTTTCAATCGCCTCACATGCATATGAAAGCTGGACAATGAGTAAGGAAGACTGAAGAACTGATGCATTTGAATTGTTGGCAAAGAATACTGAATGTACCAAGGAATGCTAGAAGAAGGAACAAATCTGTCATGGAAGAAGTACAGCCGGAATGCTACCTAGAAGCAAGAATGGCCTGAGGGACCATTCCCTGGAGAAGAACTATCACACTTGGTAAAGTAGAGGGTCAGCGAAAAAGAGAAGACCCTCAATGAGATGGACTGACACAGGACTGCAATGATGGGCTCAGCGATAGCAAGGATTGTGAGGATGGCAGAGGACTGGGCAGTGTTTTGTTCTGTTGCTAAGAGTTGGAAGTGACTCGACAGCACCTAACAGGATGAAACAACAAGCCACCTGGAGTTACTTGTTTTCTTTGGAGATGAAGTAAAACAGGATTTGTCTGATCTGTTTGGTCATCTAACCCTCCCTTATGCTGAACTTCTTTGATGAAGAGCTTCTAAGCCTGCAGAAGATATGAAGGTTAGTAGGGTGTGATATAAAAAGAGTGTGGAAAATAAAAGAAGTCTAGGTACCTGATGGGGAAGCAAACTTGCTCTTGTCAGAAAAAGTCAATGATTCCCACAACTCCATAGGATGTACATACAGGGCAAAGAGTTAAGAAAACTTACTCTAAAATCAGAAAAGGATAAAGGCATATGTTTTCCATTTTTGCTAAGATGGTTTCTCCTCCACTTAAAACACAGAAGATTAGAAAGATATTTCAATGTTGGCATCCTGTGGTAAGTTCACTTCCAATTTATTGTTGGCATTTCCAAGTGGTATTCAGTTACATGAAGATCCTCCTAGCTAATTACTGTGTTATTAGATTACAAAACTGAGTAACAGTAATAAAAAGACAGAAAAATACCTCTTCCCTGAAAACTGTCTGAAGGCTTTCCCAAACACGTTGTTAGTTGCTGTTGAGTTGGCTCTGACTTACACGATGCTGCCCGGTCCTCCGCCATCTTTGCAATCATTGCCATGCTTGAGTCCACCGTTACGGCCGCTATGTATTCTGAGGGCCCTCCCACCTGGGGGCTCATCTTTCAGCAGCACACTGGACGAGGTTCTGCTGGGAATTCACAGCTCCACTGGCTGATTTTCAGCAGCAGATCCCCAGGCCTTTCTTCCAGTCTGTGTTAGTCTGGAAGCTGCTGCCGTCAGTCCACCAAGGTGACCCTGCTGGTATCTGAGAAACCAGTGTCATAGCTCCCAGCATCACAGCAACATGCAAGCCACTGCCTTACAACAAATGGACAGACTCTGCAAACACAGAAACTATTTAAATGTTCTGTTACTTTCATTGTCTTGAAATGAGCTTTTATACACAATTTGATCTTAACCCTCTAGAGAATTCTTGCTCCCCCCGCCACCCCCACACAGGGATAAGCATAATGGCTGGATAGGCCCTGTGACTGACTTATGATAGGGCCCTGTGAGAATACACAGCAGCCGTAACGGTGGACTCAAGCATGGCAACGATTGCAAAGATGACGGAGGACCGGGCAGCATCCTGGGTTGATGTGGACATAATTACACTGGGTAAGGAGATCCAAGGTGAGAGAGGTAGGGACCCTGGACAGCTCAATCTGACCCCAAAGTCCAGGGCAGTAGGCAGCCATCAACCAGGTCTACTCATAAACAGAAAGGGAAGCGTTCAGGCGTTCTCGGTCGCTGTAAGGTTCCAATGGACGTAACTGCCAACACTGGCAACGAGGTGATGGCCATTATGCCAAAGTACAGGCGTTTCTGAGCCTAAGAAGCCCCGTTTCCCGTGGATGTTGCGGTAACACGAAGCTCCCATCTGAGCTCATTACTCTCCCAGCAAAACACTGAACGGCAGCAGGCCTGACACGCTCTTGGATGCCTGGCCACGCAGCACATAAATCTGGCTAATCCCTGCTGCAGAAGAATCTAGCGTGATTTTCATACAACACAGCATTAAACAAACCTCTTTTTTTATTTATCATAGAAGCAGTAAGAAAATATGGGGACAAGTTGGTGCCAAGCACCTCGTTCAGTGAGCTACTCTTAGCAAGGGGTCTGTAAATGTGAAATAGGAAGGATGTTGTTGGCAAGATTTTAAAAACAATTTTGTATTTATTGAAATTCAAAACAGACTAGCAAAGTCCTTCAAAATGAAGACCCAAAATCAGCGAGCCTGAGCATATTTCCTACAGTTGCTACAACTCGTCACCACAAACAGCGACTTCACACACGTGTTGTCTTACATTTCTGCATGTTAGTCACACAGGGGCGTCACTGGGCTAAGATCAGGGGTCACAGGGCTGTGTTCCCTTCTGGCGGCTCCAGGGGAGAGTCTCATCCTTGCCTGCTCCAGCTTCTTGAGGCTGCTTGGGTTCCTTGGCTCACAGTCCCCTGGGGGATTCCTGCATCTTTAAAGCCAACAGCTTGGCATCCTCTCTCTCTGTTCTTCTGTATTCCCACTTCCCTCTGCCTCTCTCCCTCTTCTGACTCCTCCTTCCACTTTTAAGGACCACTGTACTTATACTGGGCCCCCGTGGGCAATCCAGACATCCTCTCTATGTCAAGGTCAGCTGATGTTATCGTTACTGTTAGCTGAAGAACCACCTTAATTCCATCTGCAACCCTAAGTTCCCTGTGCCAGTAACATAATATATTCACAAACTTTGGGGATTAGGACAGAGACATCATTGGGTGGCCATTTATTCTGTCAGCCACAGTGAGAGTCCACATTAAATATACATGAAATCTACATTAATTACACCAGAGTTTAGTATTTTTGTGACAGTTCAATAATCATCATTGAGTTGCCTTAATTTACAGAAATTATCTTTTGTATTGATATAAAACACAGCGAGACTCAACAGTAACCAATAAAAAAAAAAAAGAATGTAAAGAGCTTTAAATCCAATTGTACATCACTACAAAGTAGTGGTTGTGTGTGTATGTATATATACATCAAACTATACATGTGTGCGTGTACGTATGTAGATGCATACACACACACACACACACACACACATTTTAAAGTTAAACAAGTAGTTCTGGAAAGTCAAGAGACCATGGAAATGCCTGGGAAGAGACATTCATGAAACAAGGCCACATTAATGCTGCTTCAAAATCAGCCAAAGAGGAGATTCTTAATGAAGAACATAATGGCTGGAGATAAACCCATTCTTTCTTTTCAGGTCAGTCGTGTTTCCCTGGTTTGTTTTCTTCTTCCTTTTTTTCCTGTTGTTAGGATCCACATTGAACCTCCTTGTGCTCTTAATGGCTGGCTGCCATGTGAAGTGACCAGAGAGCCCTTATGAACAAGTTCAAGCCACGAACCCACACACATCAGTGCACCTGCTTTGCAGGAAATCAATGAAAAAGAAAGAAAAGTTATCTGTGCACAGCCCTGTCCCCAAGTACCTATAATTCCAGAGCAAGGTGCTCGGGTCCCTTCAGTGGCTGCAACGCCAGCTCTGGATTTCAGAAACACTCTCCCCGCAAACACAACCACTGTCCCTGGCAAGAGCCAGGGCCCAGTCGGTCAGAATTGGAAGATGGGGATGAGATAGTGGTGGTCATTCTCGGTCAGCAGGGAGATCTCTGGCCACTCCCGGGGCGGCTGCTCTGGGTAGCAGACTTCAAAGTCCCTGGAGTTAAACTTGAACACTCTGAACACTTTTATCTTCACTTCAAGGGAGTATCCGAGTATAAACATATCAATCTGGGGACGAGATGAAAGGAAGGTCACAAATACACATTTTCAAATTCCTCCCCTCCCACCACAGCGGGTGAAAAGCGTTCTTCCACAGTTCATGAAACGATCTTCTTATTTATGACCCACACATCACAGTGAGTGGGCACAGGCAGGAACAAAGGCTCCTTACTAGAAGAAAGGGGACAAGCATAGCAACGTCTCTCTTGCAGCTTCGGAAAAAATGAAGACGTCAAAGGGAAAAGCTGTTTGAAAGAACATCTAATGACAAACAAAGGAATGCTAATGATACAAATGACACTGTTTTCCAACTAGCTTTGTATCACCTTAAATCTCTCTGCAGAAAAACACACCCGATCATTTTAATCACCTCCTAGGAAAGCCAAACAAAACCAAAAAGAAACCCTCATCCAAGGGGATAAAAGCATTTTCTGGATTGAAGAGATTCGAATAATTTCTATTTATCTGCGGTAACTGACCAAATGCTTTCTGTCTGTCATTCTCCAAATGGACTCTCTCCTAGTCAACAGCTACCTGTAAACGGTCACCCAGGCTCCCAGAGCCACAGCTCAGAGCGACACGTGGCCACCTGAACAGAGCAGTGCGGCTTCTCTTCACTGCAGGACCACTGATACCTATTGATGGACTGACACGATAGCCGCAAGGATGGACTCAAAAATACCAGCAATTGTGAAGGTGGTACAGGACCAGGCACTATTCTGTTCTGTTGTCCACAGGAACTGCCATAGGTGGGAGCCGACTGGACAGCAACACATAAACCGACCACCTCTGTGCAGCTGGCCTTATCATCAGTGCGCAGAGTGCCTGTGTTAGCAACACCGCCCTTAACCCAGCGCTCACTAGTCCTCAGCGCTGCTTACCTGCTCTAGGCCACACGTGTCGCCCACAGAATTCAGGTGATTCATCATGAAGCTCAAAGGATCGGAGGATGTCTCCCTGGAAAACAGCAGGCTGAAAAGCCTGGGAATGGCTTTTTTCGCCTTCATTTGTTCATAAACTTCAGTGACTTGATATAACATGATGAATTTTAAAGCTTCGTAAAGTCTGTATTCCAGGATCGCGTCAGAAAACAGCATATTGCACATACTTCCTCTCTTATGACAATCTTTCATCCCGCTAAATTCAGTCCACTAGAAATAGAGAGGCCGAGGTGAGATTCAGCAGGCGAAATGGCATATACTGACTGTCACGTCCTCACAGCGCACACCACAGGCCCAGAGGAGGATGGAGCTTCCGCCCTCCGCTTTGTACCTTCTGCCATGTTTGATTTTCTAAAACCATGAGTGTATATTACTTTTATAACAAAAAAAAAACCTGGCTTAAACAGAATTTTTAAAATGTACCACCTACTAGATATGACAATAAGCAAGTTAGTTTCCTAAAACTGCTGAAGGCAGCTACACAAAGGATGACCCAGCAGAGAACAGAACTAGCTAGCACCCTGTAACACCCACGGCGTGCAGCCTGAAGCAGTCGGCACGTACTGACTCACAGGTGTAACGTGTACTGAACCTCTCAGTGACTGTCGAGGTGATAACCAGCCAGCATCAGCTACCTCCAAGTCCACTCTGAGTCAGGTGACCCCGTGGGTGTCAGGGTAGAACTGTGCCCCACAGTGTCTTCAGGGGCTGACATTTCAGTAGATTCCCAGGCCTTTCTTCCCAGGCAACTCAGGGTCAACTGGGACTTGGTTAACTGCTCAGCATATTAACCATGTGAACCACCCAGGCCCTCTACAAGACAGCTACTATTCATATTTCAGTTTTACAGATAAGGAAACTCTGGCACAAGGCTGAGTATTTCCCAGGTAGCCCAGCTACAAGTGGTAGGCCCAGGATACACTCTAGAAGCCTGTGTTGGACTGAATTATGTTCCCGAAACATGTGCTGTTAGTCCTGACCTCCATGCCCATAGCTATAATCCAATTCAGAAGTAGGTTGTCTTTGTCATGTTCATGAGGCAGGACTAGTATGGAGGGTGTGTCTGAGTCAAGCTCTTTTGAGATATAAGAGAGATTAAGCAAGAGAGTAAAGCAGAGATGGGGAAGAGAGACCAAAGCCACCTGCAGATGCCCCGGAACAGAAGCTCACAGAGACGGGGCCTTCCTCCAGAGCCGACAAGGACCTCCCGGCGCCGGCACCCTGCTTTCAGACTGCTAGCCTCCTACACTGTGAGGGAATAACTCCTGCTTGGCAAAGCCACCCACTTGCGGCATTTCTGTTACAGCAGCACCAGAGAAGCAACACAAAGCCCAAATCTGTGCGTGGACCAGCAGGGGGGCTCTCAGTCAGATGACGACACTTGTGCTGTTCCGAGGCTAGTCCAGAGTGTGTTCCAAAAGGGTGTTTCTGAGCACCTTGCCCGGAACTCCCAGCATGTTGTTTGGCAGGTGACTGTTAAAGTTTCCAGGCCAGAAAAGCCCACACTGAGCCTAATTATGGGAACAATGCTGCTGTCCTTCCTTACTTGGCAGGACAAAGCCCAGCAAGGAAAGGCTGGTCTTCAGCCTGCATCCCTCCTCAACCAGCAGGAAGAGGCCGAATGTCAGAGGAAAGGGGCTACATGTGGGATGTCAATTGCATTCCTAGTCTCCTTCTTCCCCTAAGCACTCACCTGAGTTTTCAGTAATTCCACGCATTTACGTAATTTTCCAAATGCGTTTGGACCTGTGTATTTCTCAGGACCAAAGCTGTACTGCTGGATCCAATTGCAACCTTGCGAAAAGAGCAGTTTTTCAGGAATCTTGAAAAGGAAGCCGATGCCAACAAAGTTAGTACCCCACAAGTATTACACACAATTCTGACTTTGTCACAGAGCATCATCTTAACCCACAGGGCAATCCACATTAGGAAGACTACAGGAAAACTTAAGAGAAAGGTACACTTTTTTTTGTTGAATTACTTCATAATTTCACAAGTGATGGAAATCTAAATATAAGATTTTGCCTATAGAAACTATCTTTTTGGATATAACACTTCCCAAATTTTCTAGACATAACCCTTTACAAATTATTTTTAACCAAACACTGTTAGAGCATTCTAGGACATCATGTGGGTTTTAGACTCATGGACTCAGGGGTCCTAACCTAGTTCTGTCACCCACCAGCTGAGAGATATTTAACCTGCACGGGTTATCTAGCTCCTCAACTTCATCCTTAACTGTAAATTAAGGACAACTCTACCATTTTACAGGTCTTTTGTCAGGATAAATAAGATAATGGTCCATCATGGCCATCCAATACATTTTTCCACCTAAGAATCTTAACCCAGGGTCTCTGTTACATTTTTACATAACACAGGACACAAACTGAGTTGCTAGATCCAATTACAGCATTGCAAAATATATATACATATATACACACACACACACACACACATATATATATACACTATGTAAAAAAAGGCGCTCTGGTAGCATAGTGCCTAAAGCACTTGACTGCTAACCAGAAGGCTGGTGGTTCAAACCCACCAGCCACTCCTCAGAAGGAAAGTTGGGCAATTTACTTCCGTAGTGATACCGCCTCAGAAACCCAAGGAGGGGTTGTTATGAGTCAGGTCTGACTCAATGGCACATAACAACAACAACAATGTAAAAAAAAAAAAAAAACCTTAACAAAGCCACCACAGTATAACAAACTGAGAGACAACTGGTGGAGTGTATGTGTGTGTATATATATATATATGTATATATATGTACGTGTATATGTATGTATGTATGTATATGTATATGTATATATAGTGCATATAATATATATGTTGTTGTGTTGTTATGTGCCGTCGAGTCGGACCCGACTCATAGTGACCCCTCCTTGGGTTTCCGAGGCAGTATCAGTACGGAAGTAGACTGCCCCATCTTCCTTCCGAGGAGTAGCTGGTGGGGTTGATCCACCAGCCTTTTGGTTAGCAGTCAAGTGCCTTAGGCACTATGCTACCAGAGCATGTATATATACAGATATAAAATAGTATATACCATAATACATGTAGTATACATTATAGTATAAATATACTATATGACCCTTCCTTGGGTTTCCGAGGCAGTATCACTACAGAAGTAGATTGCCCAACCTTCCTTCTGAGAAGTGGCTGGTGGGTCGGAACCGACTATGAGTCGGGGCCGACTCGACGGCACATAACAACAACATAACAACAACCATAATACATAAAGTATACATTATAGTACAAATACACTATAATATATATAGTATGTACATTATAATATATACTATAAACTATGTTATATTCTTTATCCTTAGCAACTAGCACCACGACTAGCATACTGCACACATTTGACAAAATATTCGCTACATGAAACGGAACTAATGAAAATAGTTACAAATGAGAAATGTTAAGGTCATAGAACACATACAACTGTAAGATGCAGATACTTTCTATTTCCTAGCTCCTCCATCCTTAAATGTGCATTCTAGATTAGTATACCGTACTTCAAAATAAAAGTTCAGATTATGCATTAAGAACTTACTGTCTTTATACTGTTTAAGACAATGAAAACACAAGCTACAGATAGGGAAAAAGTATGTGCAAATCACATTGATAAAGCACTTGTATTCAGAATTTATAAAAACTCTCAAAACTCATCAATAAGAAAACCACCCAGTAAAAACTGGGTCTAGTATCAGATGGTAATATGGATAGCAAATAAGCATATAAAAAGACACTCAACACCGTCACTCATTAAACCAAAACCAAACTCACTGCCGTTGAGTTGAATCCGAGTCATAGCAACCCCTCCTTGGGTTTCTGAGGCAGTATCACCACGGAAGTAGACTGCCCAACCTTCCTTCCGAGGAGTGGCTGGGATTTGAACTGCCAGCCTTCTGGTTAGCAGTCACATGCCTTAGGCACTACGCCACCATTGTTGTTGTTGTTGTTATTTGCCATCGAGTCGGCCCCGACTCATAGCGACCCCTCCTTGGGTTTCCGAGGCAGTATCACTACGGAAGTAGGATTGCCCAACCTTCCTTCCGAGGAGTGGCCACCATTAGGGAAATGCAAATTAAAACCACAATGATACTGATGCACACTATTAAAACGACTTTAAAAAAACCCCGACAATACCAAATGCTGATAAGGATGCAGAGCAACGGGAACTTTCATCCACTACTGGTGGGAATGGAAAATGGTAGAGCCACTTTGGAAAACAGTTTGGCCATTTCTTATAAAGTTAAACATACACTTCTTATATGACCCAGAAATTCTACTCATAGGCATTTGCCCAAAAGAGATGTAACCTTATGTTCACAAACTCCTGTTCATGAGTGGAGCAGCCAGAGTGGAAATAAAGAGCATGCTGATACAATGTGAAGAACGCAGCCATCACCGAACGATGTGTGCAGAAACTGTTGAACGGCAGCCTGCTTTGCTGCATTCACTTCCCCCAAAAAGACAATAAAACACAATTTTAAAAATCCTGTTTGTGAATATTGATAACAGTTTTATTCACAACAGCCAAAATGAGAACAATCCAGTTATCCTTCCACTGGTGAATGGACAAACAAACTGTGTATATTCATATAAAGAATACCACTCAGTAATAAAAAGGAATAAGCTACAAATTCATGGAACCGCATGGATGAATTACAAATGTATTAAGCTAAGTGAAAGGCTTCACTTAAAAAGCTGCATATTGTATGATACCATTTACATGACATTCTTACAAAGGGAAAACTACAGGTACAGAAAACACACCAATGGTTGCTGGGGGTTGGAGAAACGCTGACTACAAGGGATAGAGGGAATCAGTGAAAGGGTGGCTACATAATTCCACATGTCAGTCAAAGTTCATGTATTTCATGTGAAAAAGTGAATTTTACCATCACCTTACTTATGAAGGATGGATACCTTTCCCAAGAAAAGATGGGGTCACTGAAAACAAAACCAAAATGGAATATGGCTGTCTTTCTGAGATGGCTTATCCGCAAACTTAGATGAGAGAGGACTGGTTCAGTGACCTCCCAACGTCCCTTCAACCTCACCACCCTGAGGACGTCCAACCTCGATTTGCCTGAGGAAAGCAGCCCATAATCAACCTGTCCTGGAAACACAAGAATGCTCCTTACGAATGAGGATGGCAGGCCTTCAGCTCCTATACTCTGGACATGTTCTCAGAAGGGACAAGGCGTTGGTAAAGTAGAGGCCAGCGGAAGTGGGCAGACCTTACATGGGAAGGACTGACCGAGTGGCTGCCACACTGGGCTCAAACGCGGCAATGACTGTGAGGATGGTGCAGGACCAGGCAGTGTTTTGTTCTGTCGTACGTGGGCTCACTATGAATCGGAACCAACCCAACGGCACTTGACAACAACCAGAGCAGAGCTCCTGGGTGCAGTCCTCATCTACAGGGCAGGGCAGGGCAGGTGGGAAGGCATACCTTGATGATGTCTTTTTCTTTCATCCAGGATGGAAAAGAGAGGCCCTGGCTGAATATCTGAAATAACACCGATCTTAGTGCATCATAGTTATCTCTTCTCACTTGACGAACACATTTAATATGATGTCGCCAAAACAGCTCCTCATAAGCCTGTTAGCATAAAAAGAAATAGATTGGTTTTCTAATTCCATGGGCCAGAAGAATAACCAGGATTTGCTGTATTTTCAGCGAGGTGTTACTTCCAACTAAGCTGGACAACAGAAGCAAAGATAATGATAAACTCTGACTTACGACCATGCGTGATTTTAAAGTGGCTTTCAGGTGAATCTAGTCCACATCACACTGTTTTAGACAAGAAATGCCTAGAAGCCCAGGGCCGTGGAGTATCATTTTGAGGAGCTCACGGGTCCAATGTGACCACAGTGAAAAATATCAGACACTTACTCTTAAGACCATGCTAAGGAGGCACTTTAAATGTACCTTTTGTGTTGCAAGGGACAGAGTTGGGCAGTGCTGCTGGGAATGTTTACGAAGATGCTCTGACAGAGAATTCGAAAAACCTTCACAGTATTTCACACTGAGGTGCCTGATCCTTCCAGGGCAGAAGCGTCCACTGGGTACACAGCAGCATAACAAGCCCCTCCCACAGAGGATGGGAAGAGCTAGAATGCTCTAGTCTCTCAAATTAGGTGCTCTGGTGGCATAGTGCCTAAGACACTTGACTGCTAACCAGAAGGCTGGCAGTTCAAACCCACCAGCCACTCCTCGGCAGGAAGATGGGGCAATCTACTTCCGTAGTGATACTGCCTCAGAAACCCAAGGAGGGGTCACTATGAGTCGGGGCTGACTCGACAGCACATAACAACAACAGTCTCTCAAACTACAGCCCTGCTTCACCCAGTCCTCCAGGGAGCAAGCCGTGGGTGGCCAGCCCAAAGCCAAAGTCTAACTTTGGCTTCTGAATTACAGCCATGTGGTTGCTTGTATTATAGCTGGTATTACTGGTTGATCTTTGGATTTAGTAAACCAGAAGGAACATCTGTTTCTTTCCTGACTTCTACGGAAAAATTCTGTTCTTCCACAGTTTTTATAAACAGACACACCTTCTTCATCAGCTTGGCAGAGGGCGTCTCTCCTTTCCATTCTCTTGCACAATAACTGAGTAAATCAACTTCTGCCTCCACACTGAGGTTCTCTGGACCAAACGGAAAAATCAAAGGCAGTTAATTTTCCCTTTCCTCTCCCTTCTTGAGCTCTCTCCATGTCTTAAATATAAGGAAACACACACACACGAGAATATTTACTTTTGAACTTTCTCTGCAGATATCCAATCCACCTGAAAGATAAAAGGAACAATAGTATTAACATTCTACTTGGAATGGCAAGGGCATTTCTGAAATCTAAAGATGATACGATAACCTACCATTTCAGTCGATGTGCTGAGTATAAATATAGCCTTCTGAAGTGGCAGAGGGTGGCCAGCAGGAATGAGGCTGCCAACATCATGGAGCCCTTGACCATCCGCCACACAGTGTCAAAGGCTTGGCTTGTGCCTAGTGTCCAGGAAGGAACTTTGTCGTTTCCTATAAAAAAAATTTTTTTAATTCACTTTACAACTATGCAACAGTCTGCTTTAAGAAAAAACAGATACATTAGAAGATTTTACCTACCAAATGTCTATCGCTGATTTACATAAACATTTTTTAAAATTTTAAAAAATTCAATCTGAAAAAAGAACCTTCCAGTTCCATAATCAGAGTGTCATACAGGAGAATATCTTTGTTCCCCAAAATTAAAGAGGAACACTGTGGTTGTGGTTGCTGTTCATCGCTGCTATCAAGCTGGGCCCCGAGTCACGCAACCCTGTAATACTCAACAGAATGCCATGCTGCGGGCTCTGGACCACCCCCACTGTTGCTCAATATTGCTCAGACCGTTGTGACCCACAGGGTTTCCGCTGGCTGATTCTGTGGAAGCATATTGCCAGACCTTTCTTGCTAGTCTCTCAGTCTGGAAACAACAACAAAAGTATTTGTATGTGTAATAATTTTCAAAGTTGGAAAATTATTCTGAATTAGTAAATATCTGAATTACTATATTTTCACATGTACACACACGCACACATATATATAACACATAGAAAACTAACACATTGAAGGGCTTGTCTGGTTTGCAAAAAACAACATGCTCATTAAAATAAAGTACAGATAGAAAATACTATATAGTTTTACATTTTTAAAATAAAGAAAAATGAAAGGGGGTCACCATGAGTGAGTTGGAATCGACTGGATGACAACTGACAATACAACATAGAGATCAGAGTTGAGCAGTTGGTAAGAAAGGAGGAGAGAAAAGGAAATCTCGGTTGAGCTAGCATTGGGCTGCTGTTTAGGGGAACGAAGAGTGTGGTAATGGATGTTGTGATTGCACAACATGACTGATCATTAATTATAAAGTTAAACATACACTTATTATATGACCCAGCAATTCTACTCATAGGCATTTGCCCAAAAGAGATGGAACCTTATGTTCACAAACTCCTGTTCATGAGTAGAGCAGCCAGAGTGGAAATAAAGAGCATGCTGACACAATGTGAAGAACGCAGCCATCACCCAACGATGTGTGCAGAAATTGTTGAACGGCAGCCTGCTTTGCTGCATTCACTTCCCCCAAAAAGACAATAAAACACAATTTTAAAAATCTTTTTGATCATCACAGCAACATGCAGGCCTCCACGGGTACATAAAGGAATCGAACCTGGGTCTCCCATGTGGAAGGGGATTAGTTTCCCACCCATGGCCCCTAAAGAGCATGGGCTTCAGAATCAATCAGAGCTGAGCTTGAAACCTGCCTCCACCACTTATCGAGCTGTGTGACTGGGGACACCCTAACTTCTCCAGTCTTGGATTTCCATGGCTGTGGAATGGGGATAAGAATACTGGCCTCGCTGGAGAAAGACTGAATGAAATTTTTCAAGCCCCAGCACAGGGCCCATCACATAGCTGGTTCTTGACGAACAGTCACTGAGCCCGGGAATGATTATGGAGGTCCTGTTCAGTACCGTGTGCTCAGGAGGTCACCCATACCCAGAAGGTCATCCATACCAGGTGGCCCCCAGCGATCCCTTCACCACCACTTCTGCCTGATGTTTCTGAATCATGACAGGCCTTAGCATACGGCGTCACTTTAACAACACAGAACAAGTGACTCAACCAGCAGGCACACAGGTGTCATTTCCAGAAAGTAGACCATTTACAAGGAAAGAAGAGTTGTGAGACGGAGTTAGGGATGCTTCTTATGACAGACACTCTCATTCCTGATTTGACAAATGAGAGAAAATTAACAGGCCTAGAACTTGTTTCAGGATGCTCAGTCGGTTCCTAACTGTATGGTGTCTGAGCATGTAAAATGGTAAAGTATACACAAATGAGGAAGAGAGCTTCTGAACGATGGCCAAACCTCCCGACGTCCAGTGCGAAATCATTTCCTCCACAGTGCATGACTCAGGAAAACTCCTGTCACCGACTACAGTAAAACCTCATCAGTGTGGAATCTACAGTTTTAGCATGGTTCACTACACTTTCACTAAAGAAAGAATTTACCAGAAAAGAAATTGTTTGCAGAGAAAATATCTGTAACTACTTAAACAAACATTTTCAAAACCAAGGACTTACCTATGTCAAATAGTTCATTACCTATTCCAACCATTATGTATTTATTCCTCCTAGAGACACTGGGCGTTGAGAACGGCTTGAACGGTGAAGCCATGACTGATGGCCAGAAGGCTGGTGGTATGAACCTACTCAGAGACTTCTTGAAACACAGGCCTGGCGCTCTGCTCCTGAAAGGTCGCAGCCCTGAAGACTCTATGGAGCAGTGTCACTTTGCACACGTGGCGTTGCCACGAGTCATAAACGGCTCACCAGCAACTCACAATAAAAAACTTCTAAAAACCAAAACCAAACTCACTGCCGTGGAGTCAACCTGGCTCACAGAGACCCCTCCTTGGGTTTCCGAGGTGGTATCACTACAGAAGTAGACTGCTCAACCTTCCTCCCAAGTAGTGGCTGGGGGGTTTGAACCGCCAGCCTTCTAGTTAGCAGTCAAATGCCTTAGACACTAAGTCACCAGAGCTCCCTAAGAAACTTAGTGGATCTTTTAATGAATTTTTTAAAAATGTAAAACTATATAGTATTTTCTATCTGTACTTTAATGAGCATGTTATGTTTTTTGCAAACCAGACAAGCCCTTCAATGTGTTAGTTTCCTATGTGTTATATATATGTGTGTGTATGTGTACATGTGAAAATATAGTAATTCAGATATTTACTAATTCAGAATAATTTTCCAACTTTGAAAATTATTACACATTCAAATACTTTTGTTGTTGTTATGTGCCATCAAGTTGGAACCAACTCCTAGCGACCCCTCCTTGGGTTTCCGAGGCAGTATCACTATGGAAGTAGATTGCCCAACCTGCCTTCCGAGGAGTGGCTGGTGGATTTGAACCGCCAGCCTTCTGGTTAGCAGTCAAGTGCCTTAGGAACTATGCTACCAGAGCTCCTACAAATACTTTTAGTGAATGCTTATAGTCAGAGGAGAACTAGAGTTCTGTCTATGTGTTACATAATTTATTATGACCACAAACATTTTCTACAAAAATGGAGTATCACACATGATTTTACAGGTTTTCTTCTCTAAATGAAGCCTGGGTCTTCTTTTCCTATCAGTGGTTTCATACAGATCTACATTATTTTTATTAAAGAATGCGAAGTATTTCAGTACAAAGCTGTTGTTGTTATTGTTAGTTGCTGTCGGGTCAACTGCGACTCACAGCGACCCCATGTGTGCAGAGTAGAACAGCTCCATGGGGTTTTCAAGCTGGGTCCTTGCCGAAGCAGGTCTCCAGGCCTGTCTTCCAAGGCACCTCTGGGTGGGACCACCAACCTTACAACTGGCAATCAAGCACTTAACCAGCTGCACTACCCAGGGACTAGCAAATGTTACACCATCATACATGTAGTTATTGCTTTATTGGTAAGCATTTGTATTATTTCCTATTTCTCACTTTTATAAACAATGCTGCAATGAAAAAACATTCCTTTCCCCCAGTCCTTGTGGATTCATGGTAGGTTCTGTAGGATCATTTCAAGCAGAGGAAATTCTGGGTCAAAGGCTGTGCACATTTTTAGATTTGACAGACATTCCAGGTCTGCCAAGGAACATTCCTGCCATGAACAGGAGAGCGCCTTCCTCCCTAAGTCCCAGTATCGGTCATCGCTGTTTTTAAGCTTAGTCTAACATGTGAGAGGTGGCTTCTCATCTAAGCTGCATTTCTGTCAAAATAACTAAGCTTGAGGTCATCCCCTCTGGACGAGCCCTTCATTTCTCCTTCCGTGAAGAGTCTTCTTGGAGCATCATTCACTTCTGAGGGACGTGCTTCATTTTTGCATAGACCTGCAGGGCTGGTGGCCACTGAGACAGGGGACTGTCTGAAGCCCACCCACTGTGAGCCATGGCCTCTCGTATCTGCTACAGACCACTGGCCACACTTGCTTGACTCAAGCCTGGCCATCTGGGCCCCCTCTCCTGACAAGGGCCCAGGGCCTCCACAGGGACAGTCTGCTCTGAACACCCACTGCAGATGACAGCTCTCCTCACTCTTACACACACACACACACACACACACTTCCGAGCCTACTGCCCTGATCCTCAAAATTAAACCTCGCCTGCAACCCAATGAAAGAAACAAACAGTGACCTGACAACGCCATCAGCTGGCTCCATCTCTACTTCCTGGCTTGCCATCCTGGTCCCCCTTTACCTAAGGCTCTCATGGTTTTCGGTCGAGTGACTCAAGTCAAGAAGGGTCAGGGAGCCTAGTCATGGGGGTACCTGGGAGCGGTTGGAGGAGGCTGGTGCAGGCCAATGGCTCACCCTACTGAATGCAGCCATGGCCACAGGGCCACAGAGGCCTGAGACCCCTTCCTGTTAAGTACTCTCACTGCCCTGCAGAGACAGTTCCCAGCGGTTCACAGATAAAGTGTTCTAGAAGTAGGGCTTTGAAGTCAAAAGAGGAAGAACATTTAGCAGAAAAACGTGTGGCTTTATTGATCATGAACATAGCTACAGTTCACGGGTTTCTCAGAGCCTGTGCTGAGCACTTGACAGGAGGGACCTCATTTACTCCTGTGAACGACTCCATGCAGTACAGACAGCTGGGTGGGTCCCAGGCCTGGAGCTCGACAGCCAGGTTCCTACCCTGGCTGGGATTCGGGGCATGGTACCTCCCAGAGCTTTGGCTTCTTCCAAACAGTACACAGTACACCTGGCACAGTGCTCAATGCACATCAGCTCTGACATCACGCCCATATGACAACACAGGGCGAGGAACGCTGTTGGGAGGGTGAGACGGAATGGGGGGTTCTGAGCACAATGACTGCACACCGTAAGGACCCAATAAAAGTGAATTATTATTTTTAGTGCTATTACTTTCATCACCTTTATTTATTTTTTTCATTGTTGTAAAAATATGGGTAACACAACATTTGCCAATTGACCATTTTTCACTTATCAATGTA